CCTTTATTTTGTAGTTAAAATAAATGTTTATCAAATAAAGTCTAATGTTACAACTAATCGTGGATCCCTTTAAACTGTCAACAATATTTACCACTTTGTAGTTACTGCATTAGTGCCACGTGATCGGCACCAAGTTCCTTAATTTTGGGAGATTGGAGACCGGCCAATACTTGGGTAAAATTGGTGGAAAAGATTGGTTTCTCGTTTACCTCCACGAAGGTCAGAAATTCAGCCACTGTCCACTTTTGCTCTGCTGTGAGCACTACCTAATGTCCGGATAAAACGAGTTTGTATTGTAGGGTATTGTTCAATGGTTTTCAATAAAATATGATTGGAATTTTGAAGGTGCATTGTCACCTTATGACACCTGACAGTGTCAGTTATTTAAAAAATCTGTATCGGCCAAAATCTATATTGGCACGTCAAGACTATTTAAAAAGTGGTGATTGGCCAGGAAGCCACATTCAGTGCACGTCTAGCCACATCACCACCCACTTTTAAGTGTTGCCATAATCGTCATTTTAATCGTTATCGTCTAAATGGCACAATTAATTTTGATAAATTTTTATGGCAAACGTTTTTTTTAATGCATTTAAATCTTAATATTGTGGCACATAATCTCAATATCACAATGGATTAAAAAACTTAGCAGACCCAAAACTGCGCGCAAAATATTCAAATTTGTCAATTAGGTAGACCCCCACTCCTCTAAAGGCCCACAAACGGCAACAACATTGAGAGAACATGGATTTATTACACCAGATATCATCGTTTAACACTGACACTGCATTCTCTCCTGTAACCGTGCWGCCCTAACTAATGTGACAATCATATCATTTAAAAAATGCGTAACAAATTACTGACAAACCGAAGCCTACTCGCTGGTTATGTCGAAGTGCGAACTGGAATTGAGTGAGAATAATCAAACATTTCAGGCATTCGAAGTTATCTTAGTGCATAAAATTTAATAATGTTCRGATAAACGATTTGAACCGCAGCTGTTTTTAGAGTTTCTCTTATGTGGCAATGGGATAATAAGCAGGAAGTAAATTTGATTCATTGAACTGTACTGTATACAAATCAATTTCTTAGCAGTTTGCAGCAAAAAAAAGTTGTACCAATGAGCAAAAAGCACACGTTTATTTACTTTTTCACTTCATAGCATAAAATCTTAAGCAGTAGCATACTTTAAGATTAATATTATTTGTATGTTTTCTATGAGTTATATATTTGTTTATACTTTGTATATTTTCAACTCTCCTATCTGCAGTGACAAAATCTGCAGCTGAAAATCGACTCGGCACTGTAAAAAGACCAGAAATCATTTGGGTGAGACCAGTTTCCAGGTATTCTGGAACCATAAAATCCTCACAGAAGAACGTGCTTCTTGATTCAGGCCTTCCATGTGTTCATTCTTGTGGCCACTTTAGAGTTTTCACACCAGTCCACTAAGAGATCCCCTCGTCTCATTCTCCTGCCGACTGTTTTTCTTTTTTAATTTATCCTGAYGCTTTGATAGCTTTAATACTTCCCTCTCCTCATTTTCTGTGACCTGCCTGGATAGGTGGCACACTCCTTTTACTGTAAACACCGTCTGAGTTTGGACAACTGTTCTCAGAACTAGAAAAAAAAACAACCTTTGGATCCACGCCGCCTTACGTACCCCCGCAGTAACCTCCCTCCTGCCCTCCCCTCTGCTCCTTCCTTTCCTCGAGGTGCGCCTCCGTCAACAGAACTCCGGGCCGTAGTTACTGAGAATAAACTTTTGCGACGAGTACGATTGTCCGTGACATAGGAGAGGTGATGAAGAACAACTTTCCTTTCTGCCCTCGTTATTATTATTATTATTATTATTTTATTTTATTTTATTTTATTTTATTTTTTTCCTGTGCACCAAATGTGGGAACTTTTAAGTCCTAGTTCATGAACTCTGACCTATTGACCAGGCGCTTATTCAGTTTCTTACGGTGGTGGTGTCAAGGGGGGAGTCATGTGGGGACCCCCCCTCCCCTGCTCACAGTCAACTTTTTATTTATGGACCTCTGCACTTTTGGCTGTGATGATTTCAGTACTTAAGTAGTTACCTAAACTGTATTTTTAAGGATTTTATACAATATTTACATGCAATACAATATAAAGTGAGTTTTGTTTTCTCTTTGCCAACGTTTATTTTTTTAATTTAAATGTTTTTTTGTTTTGGCATGTGATGTCATTATTCTCAAACAAACATGCCTGTTGAGTCTATTTTTGGCATGAGATGTCGGGGACGCGTCCCTGTTTRTTTTGTTTATATCGATTCTGATAACAGCTGAACACCAAGAGGCAAGGTGTAGGAAAATCATTGAACCTTTTTTTTTTGTCACACACTTTGCTTCGAACTATTTATTTCCTGTATCATATCTGGTTTTGATTTTGTTTTCATTCATAGGAGTCTGTACCCAAACTGAACATCTCTGTCATTTTTAACTGTGCTCAAGGTGAAGAAACGCTTCATAAACTGAGTTGCAAAGTGAGGGAATCTGTTCTGAGCAAGTGCCATCCTTTTTCTTTTTCTTTTTCACTGACAAACCATGACTGCAAATGTTTTAAATTTCTTGCCACAAGTAAGCTACATCTCTCAACGGACATTGGTACAAGAACCTGCAAAGATACGAGTTCAGAAATCGCAATTTTAGGTTGAATTCGGTGACTTGTTGCTCTTAAACACTTTTGATTTGCTTCCATTCTTATTTGCATGAATTCTGACGGTTTTCACATCAAGTGAGCTGAGAACTCTGGGTACTGTAGTGTTTAGATGTGATGTTGTTGCACATTGAAGGAGGGCAGTGAACAAAACATCCATTTTTTCCTTTGCAACTCTGTGAGGTGAGCCACGATTTCAGCTGAGAATAAATCTAATCTGTGTACGATACGGCAGACGTTAGATCATCTGCTGTGTAGATCTTTAAACGGACAAAGACGAGCGCAAACGGTTTCTTAAAAACATGTGGAGGTGGGGTGGGGGTGCACGTGCAGACCGGGTGTTTCCTGTGTCATTTGCGTCATGATGTGGGTACAGTGTTGCCTGTATTTATAAAGGTTTTATTTTCTATTTTTTTTAAAGTGGTGGGGCGGGGGTCAGAAAAGTGTTCCACGTGTGAGGTTGAAGCAGAACAAATGAACTGAATGGCAGAAGAACAATTTGGTATTTTTAAAAAGAGGAAAAAAAATTWAAAAAACAAAACAAAGACTTGGCATTGCGATGCCACCATGTGGCCATATGATGCAAGTTGTTAACGAGGATGAAACCTGTTATTTTAATGTTATTTTTTATTTTGAAATCATATTATTAATAAAGTCATTAAGAACTGTTGTCCCCTCCCCGTGTGTCCAGTCATTGACCGCTGCGTGACCCGGTCGGTGGGGAGTTCGTGGWAGGTTCATGTTGTGGTCAGCGCAGTCTGCTGGGGTTAAAAGGACAAGCAGCAGGTTGGACAATAAAGCCACCACAGACTGTGACGCTTATTGGCGAAGGCCGATCAATAAATTTGTCTCAGCTCTGCTCCGAGAGGGAAACCTAACTGGAATCATTGGAAGAAAAAGTGCTCTGATGTGCCGCTGCTGGAAAATAATACTATTAAAGCAAATTGAAGACCATTCAGCTGCTTCAGGTTCATCATCCTGATAGAGCTTGGTTCACTGAGCAGATGTCAATGGTATTGGCTTCTCAAGTCAAAAGTGTCCTGGAAACAAAAAGTCTGCTTTGAAAAATTGTGATATCAAGATTCCATTGTCCTTGGAAAGCAATCGTTTTATTAGGTGGGTTGTGTTTCAACAACACATTCAGTTTTAATACTTTGGAGTTATTGAGTCAGTTATGCAAAATCAAAAATGTTAAAAGATTTAGAAATTGAATGATTTCTGTATATACTGCAGTGGTTCCCAACCCTGGTCCTCAAGAACTATTTAGTCTTCAGCAGGTTTTCACATTATTCAGAAGCTTGCTGTTCACATATTCATACAAATCAGGTGTCAAAGCAGGGAACTGTCTAAAAGAGGGGCTTTAGAAAGCTATAAAAATAAAATAAAAGCTTTGTTTTAAATCACTATAACATCAAATCTGTTTTTAATCACTTTAAAATCTATAATATAATGGAAATTTTGTTTAAGAAAGCTTAGGAGAGGTTTGATTTCTTTTATTCTGTTATTGTCAACAGTTTGTTGAAAAAAAAATGTTTTTTTTTCCCCSAGTGGGAATATAATAGTGTTTAAAACATTTCATCATTCTTATGCTAAACAATTATTCAAATTACTGAATAGTGAATAAACGTGAGGAAAAAAACATTCAAAACGTTAATGTTTCTTAACATATTTTGTTGCATTGTTTGTGTGTTTAAAGTTTGTGGGGCTATGGCATAGTAAAATTTGGGGAACCCCTTGTCAAAAATATCACACACAGGATAGTGTTCCTCTACGACCAGGGATAGGAACCACTGGTTTATACTAAGCATATTTGATATTTAAAATTAGATTTAACATAACCTGGAAATATTGAAAATGGATATCTGAAGCAAATTATTATTTGTTGTAGAAAAAAAAGTAGTATTTATATTCGCGGTTCTGCTCTGTTTGTCCCAGTGGACTTGCCGTAGTTCCACTTTGTCGGAGCGTGTTTAGCGTACAGCCGGTTTGGGACTTTTTAAATAATATTTTATTTAATTTACTGCTGAACCCTAATTATCACATGCCCGTAAGTAATTTTCAAACCTAGCACTATGTGTTAATTTATAGTAATTTATGTTGTAACTTCTTATTTGTTTGGAAAAAAATTACCAATATCGATGCTATTCGCGTTAGCATTTCTATGGAGTTTTCAATGTTAAGTTAGCGAACTTGCTAAACATACTACTGCTAAACAGCCTACTCGAAATTAGTTATTTTTCCACGATTTTTTTGTACGTAAAGCATAATTTGCATACGATAATATGTTTTTATGTAGTTTGCAATAATATTGTTTACATCTACACACAATTATTTACATGTCAAGATATTGTAAACACACTTAACCTTCAGTAACTGCAGCTTTAGTAGAACACATTTTTGCCAATTTGAACACATCTCACTTTAAACTTTTTTGTACTGCTTATATTTCATAAAACAACACAAATTTATTGCTGCTTTGATTGAACTTCTGATAGTTTATAAGGAAATGTTTGTGAAAATTTTAGCTTATTCGTCATGTCATCTCACTTTTGTCCCACTACTGGATATTTTGAATGGATTGCCACACAAACATTACAAGATGTGAAACAAAACAAAACAAGTGATATCCCTTCATACTTGATTGTAATGTTCTTTTATTTGAGAACTGATCGCACAAATATTCACATTTCTGTCAGCACCAACAGGCCTGTTTCCCTGCTGCATGTCAGACTGTTTACAGCTTTTAAGGTTCAAGTGAATCCAGTTTTTCTGGTTTTTTTGAGCTCTCAAACTGTTTGATACAAACATTTCAACACCACAGTTTTTATGTTAAAGGTGCTCCAAGTTAACCGCTGAGTCACAGCTTAATTTAGAAATAGATCCTCTCAGTTTCACATTAAATGCTTTAATTCGTCACATCTGCTGGATGTTGCTACAGAAGGACGCTCGTCCAGATGTTCTGAATCACTGTCATTTCCTTTACTTAGCTGTATAAACAGTTTTTGTATTTTCTTTTAATCTTAGGTGAACAATAAGTACAAATTTATCCTTTCATTTGCCACTGTTGCAATGCTTCCCATACCAACAGTATTATATACATTATTTATGAAGATCAGCTGTTTTGGAGTGCAGTAACATCTTTTAGAGGTTTGTCCCAATAAAACAACCTAAAAAAGTCGACATGTATATTTCACTGCGTTCACCCAAGTGAAATAAATTAAGGATCTTTAAGCTCTCAACAGAACGTATAAAGACAAACATATTTACAAATTTTAGCATTTCAAATAAGATGGCACAAATACAAAAACCGTCATGTATGGCTTCATGCTGTGGGTTACATGGTCGCTTTTAAAATCAAACCTTTTGACATTTTGAACACAAACAATAAAAAAATCATTTAAATCGGTGTTGATCGTAGAAACAAAAAAAAATGCATGTAAACCCTTTTACGTCAAGTGTTTCCATAAACCTTCATTTGATTTTTTTTTTTTTTTGGTTAAAACACACTTTGGTTACAAAAAAAAACTAAAAATATCAGTTAAAAACATCTTTTTTGGGGTATTTTGGATTCTGAATGTTTAGCTCAAGTATTACAGTGTTACATTTAGCTTGCTGCTGATTCTTCATCTTACAGTTTCTCCCAAAGATACAAATAAATAACTGAATTCGACCTAAATTCGAAGTTATAAAGCTGATTTACAGTGGCTTCCTCACTGCTCTTACCTGTACAACAATCACAAATCTGAACCGTGACAGCAGGAACATAATTTAAGGCAAAGATATTTATACAGAAGCATAAGGACATCAGGAGACGGACCGATGAGGCAGAGTGAGTCTGCGAGTGCAACACAGGCTTGTCTGAAGGTCACAGCAGCATCTATTTAGGAGGCAGCGGGGTTTCGGGGGACGTTGGAGTCGGCAGTTCTTTGTAAAAGTTGTCGATCTGCTCTTTGTACATCTTCAGCACCACAGGTCGCTTCAGCTTCATGGTTGGACCTGAGGAGTGATAGATTGGCTTTTAAAGGAGACGTACCATGTTTTTAAGTCCTTCTTTTTCACGTTTAAATCCTTCAGTTTGGGGTCTGTATAAAGTGGAACTGCAATGCTTTGGTCTGAATTCCTCTTTATTGTAACTCCACAAGCCCCTCTTTCACCCCTTTTCTGAGACATGTCTCAGATCAACTCGATTTGAGGCTGTTACTTTAAATCTAAGAGTGGTCCGTTCCAGTTTGATAGAGGAGTTTATGACTATATAGCGGCACAGAACCTTTTTTATTTACAAATGAATTAAAAGATGTCAACAAGAGAAGACCATCCAGCCTTACATGTTGGAGCCAGAGGATATTTAAGACAACAAAAGTGTAGTTGSTAAGCCATATCTTAGATGTTTTGTCACAAATACTATGATGTAATAGTTCAGAAAATGTCATATAATAGAGAAAACTAGTTTGAAAATGACCCAAACAGAATATAAAGATATCTACTCAGCACCAGGAGCGACTAAATTCAATTTTCTGCACTCCTAGATACTCCAAGTACACAACAAAATGCATTTAATTGCTAAAAAAGTGGACTTTGCATATTTCCCCTTTACATAGCTCAACAATACATCGATCCTCCTCAATATATTGATTAAATGGTTAACGATTCAGTTGCATCATATCAATCACAGACTTCTGAATTGAACCGAAACCATACCACGACAGTCTCTGTGATAACAAGAAACATTGTATCGTCATCCAAACACATCCATGTATCATATTGTGTGATGAAACTGGTGATTTACACACCTACTATTAAACTCTGTCTTTTTTTAAACAAACCCTGCTAATGGGTCATTAATTTAGCCATAGGTGAAAAATCAGCAAGCTTTATCACACAGGCCACAAAATTCCTTAAAAATTCTGAGTGAATGACAAAGAAAAACAAATTGGCATAAAGCAACTGCAAATTATCATTACACATCCAATACTGCTTTATTACACTTAAAAAAAAATCCTAGAATTATGTGCTGTGCATAGTCTAAAACTCAAATTTTGCAATTTATTAAAAAAGCCTCAAAGCTTTAAATCACAGGGAGTATAAAAAGACTGTTGATAAAATCAGTGTTTGTGTTTTACTGACCCAGTTCTCCTCCGCCGATTGAGAAGTCCCGGTCCAGAATGAGCCACTTCTGAATGCGCTGGGCGTTAGAAGTCGCGTGCTCGTTGACCCGGTTGATCCCCTCCTGGACGGCGGCGTGGACCAGGCGGTCTTTGCCGCCCGCGATGTCGGAGAYGCGCGTGGCGTTGCTGCCCAGGCTCTTGCAGAACTCCACGGCTTCTGGTGTCAGCTCATCCTCGGGGCTTCCTGTCTCTGCGTTCACTTGGCACTACAAAGGAGGGGAGGGGAGTAAGGTTGATTTTATTGTGTCTGCACAGCCTGGTCATGTAGTTTTTCAAAACACCACCAGATGGCAGTGTTRGACAGTAATGCTTAACTCCTTTTGCTACCAGTCATAACAGATCKACTCATTTATAGATGAGATAGAGAATATCACTTTTTATCTCTTATCAGCTTCCTGACCCTCTGCAACAGGGTGTTATGTCTTTTGTTATCTACATGAGTACAGTTTTATTAGTACACACAACGAAACACTGATAAAAACATCCATTGAAGAGTCTCAGAATCTAAATAATCACCTTTATGGTAATCAGCATTGACAGAAACTTTCTCTTGTCTCCGATTAGCATGGCATTGCTTATCAGTGGCACAGCCTCCTTCACTGCGTCCTCGGTGGGGACGGGAGGGACGTTCTCCCCTCCTGCAGTGATGATCAGCTCTGCAGGACGTATACGAAAACCATTTATTGGTAATCAGTAAGCAATAACGTGATAAATGCCTAAAAGGAGTCTGCAATATTGAGTACAATGTCGGGGTACCTTTAATTCTCCCAGTGATGAAGAGGAAGCCCTTCTCGTCATGTTTGCCCAGGTCACCCGAGTGCAGCCAGCCCTCTTCGTCCAAAGCGTCCTCCATCTTGTCGGGCATATTAAGGTACCCCATGAAGATGTGGCGACCCCAGAAGCAGATTTCACCATTTCCCTCCTCATCTGGGTTGTACAGCTTTGTTTTGCACCCTGGGATCTCTTTACCACAGCTGGAAAAAAAAGATGTAGCTCAGCCACCAATTTGGGCTTTTATTCTGACAGTTCAGGGTACGTCTGCATCTCAACGCAGCGGGGGAGTTAAAGAAAGGAAAAAAGCACCTGGTGAGTTTGAAGGCCTCGGGTTGGGAGATGGTGTGAGGTCCGGTGCTCTCGCTCATGCCGTACAGTTCGTACAGAGGAATATCCAGGCTGAGGAAGAACTCCAGCGTGTCTTTGGTGATGGGAGCGGCGCCGGTGTAGCACTTCCTGCAGCGGTCCAGGCCCAGAGCCTTGCGCACCTTTTTGAACACAAGCTTTTTGGCAACGTGGTAGCTGAACGGAGCGTGGCCGTCTGCCGTATTTCTGAAGGGAAACAAAAAATGGGAACTTGTGTGAGGCGACATTTCGGATCGATGGTAATGGAATGAATTGCAAATAAGGCTGCAAAAAAAAGCACAGAAAATAAAACTATGGCATCAGAAAAATGCTAATAACTGCAGTGAATTCGTGGAAGAGGGAAGTATAGACAGAAGATAACTTTATTAATTAAGCTTTGACTGAACGTAGCTTGACGTTCATACATACTGGTTCATTCTGGTCAAGTTGGTCTGCAGACCCACGTCTTTCGCCCAAGCCGCCACTTTCCTCCTCACAGTTGACGACTTTGCCCCGACAGATTTCATCTTCTCCTGCATCTTTTCCCAGACACGTGGCACGCCCATAAAGGCCGTGGGTCGCACTTCCTTCAAAGTGTTCACCAGCGAACCCTAAAAACACATAGAAAACTCTTTATTTATAATGCTCTGCAACAAGTTTGAAAAAGCTATGAGTTTTTGTGTAAAAGAGGCAAATGTTTTATTTTATTATTGTGTAAAAGTTGCTTATTTGTCCTGGCTATCTCTGTCCTTGTTAACAACACTTTTGTTGGTTTATGATTACATATTGAACTCGAAAGAAAAACAGTCCTTGACAGAAATCAGCTGAGTTTCGAGTTTTTCTATGGCAGATAAAGTGACATGATATAAAAAGCGATACACTGATTAAAAAATGTCAAATGGACCTGTTTTCTAAACTGTAAGTCCACGGGTCATTAGAATATCAGATCAGCTGTATGTATAGTGTTATATTTTGAAAGGCTGACGTGTTTGTGTCTTCTCCACACCTTCAGTGCATCTGGTTGGGCGAAGTAGGTCGCCCCTCCAACCCTCATGACGACCCAGATGTCCACCATCTGAGCCGCGACGTGGCTCAGCGGCAGGTAGCTGACCACCACCTCCTGAGCCTGAGTGGCGTCGGTGAGCTGCACGTGTTTGCAGGTGGAGAGGGCCGTCCAAGTGATCTGAGCAGGAAGAAATAGAAACTGTGGGTTAAAAGTGTGGTTTTAAATATGTGGGACCACTCTTTAGTTGTTTAGTTTATGATACACTATCTGGGCAAAATAAAAGTCACTACGATGTGGGGTTGCTGCAGGTGGTCAGGTCAAGGTTCAGCAACAGTTTGTGCTCAAAGAATGAGGTCAGCTGACCTAAATAAACTGAATGACCAGGTTATGCCATCAGTGGATTGTTTCTTCCCTGATGGCATGACCATATTCCAAGATGACACTGCCAGGATTCATTGTACTCTTATTGTGAAAGAGTGGTTCAAGGAGCATGAAACATCATTTTCACACATGGATTGGCTCCACAGAGTCCATTGAGGATCTTTGGGACGTGCGGGAGAAGGTCAGATTCTACCATCATCAATGCAGGTTAGGGTTAGGGTAACCATCAATCTTGGTGAAAAATTAATGCAACACTGGATGGAAATAAATCATGACATTGTAGAAGCTTATCGGAACAATGCCACAGTGAATGCCTGCCAAAATCAAAACTAAAGGCATTCCAATGAAATATTAGAGTGTGACCTTTTTTTTTGTGGCCAGGCAGTGTATTATATCAAACAAGCAATGATAGAAAAATACATACAGTACATGTGACCCATCCATCACATTAAACTGAGGATTAAGTCCCAAAGTGGTATGTGGAGAATAAGGCAGCTATATTGCATTGATTAAAACGTTTGCAATAACTGCATCCTCATCATCATTTGAATGAACTGTCCAAAATATGATCTTAAAGAGTTGTTTTTGAAGCACTGTTTTTGAGCAGTAGCAACAAAAAACAAACTGATTTTGTGCACTAGCAAAGCTTTTTTTTTTTTTTGCAAATGGGAAAATATCAATACCCAAATATTGTTTGAGGTTTCCTCTTTAAAATGAAATCAAAAGTTCCTCGTTAGAATAACCTAAAAATAAGATTCAGACCAATTATTAATGTATYATTGTGATTAACAAGACAAACCAAACCCTATCTCTGGAAACGCTTATTATATCAGGATGATCCAGGTATCAAAATGTAGCGTAAAAAGAATGTGCTTAGGCCATCCATCCATCCATCCATCCATCCATCCATCCATCCATCCATCCATCCATCCATCTTCTTGTACCACTTCTTCCATTCAGGGTCATAGGGGTCACATCCAGCGATCAGTGTGTGTGTGTGTGTGTGTGGTGGGGGGTCGCAAATCCAAGTGACTGGTTACATTTATATTCAAGAAAATATTTAACCCCTTAAATTCTAAATAAGCCAAAGAAAAAAGCATTTGAAACCTAAGAAGTGTCATGAAACATCCTAAACCTTGCATGATTATAGGAGCTGTTTGTGTTCACCATAGTACACAACACTTAAAAATATATTAAACAGTTTGAAAGGTTAAATCTTCAAGCTTTACAGTACAACATTACCCTTGCCCTCTGACTACAAACAATACTTAATATAAAACTTGAGAAAACGCTTGAAATGCAAAGTAACGTTCGCAGACTTTGCAAATATCCTAAAGCCAAAATAAAAATTGTACATTTGTAGACTAGCATAAACCATTTTGTTTGAAAAGAACCTGAGTTTTGGGCTGTACAGGTTTGTACAGATTTGAAGTGAAAAGAACAGTTCAGCAGGTTTGCAGAGGGTACTGTTTGCCGACCCGAGGCCAGAGCCACCTCAAGGTGTCACAAGATGAACCTGATGCGGTGGTGTGAGGCCATCAGCAGGATAGGTACAAACAAACAAACAAACAAACAAAAAAAGGCAAAAAAAATTACATGTTTTTGGGCTTCCCACGTGTCTGACTAGAAAACACTGATGCCTTGTTCAGTCTGCACTTTCCTCTTCATTACAACATCTCCGCTGTCCGTGTCAGGCACAAAGAATGTGACACTTCATGCTATACAACAACAAAACCTTAGAGCTTACATTGTCGTGGCTCAGCATGACTCCCTTGGGCTGGCCGGTGGTCCCTGAGGTGTAGATGAGCGTGCAGCATTGATTGGGCTTCTGCTGGGAGATGATTGCATCGAGCGGTGCGTCGGGCTCGTCACGTCCAAGTGCCATGAACTCTTCCCACTGTGGTGCACAAAGAAGAAGAAAACAAACACTTCAGTGAGTGTTGTTTTTGGTGGCTTTTCATGCTCCCTGAACGTAACGCATGAGCTCACCGTATACAAGTTTGGTCTTTTCTCTTTTAGTGCATCTTTATATTGGACAATGGCTTTCAGGTGAGGCAGCTTGTCTTCAATCTGGGAACAAAAAGATTAAAACCGGATGATTGGAGGTTTTAATTYAAGGAGATAGAAAAGAAAGGAAAACAATAGGTAGTGATGTAAAAAAAACATTTGCTCTGATTGAGCTACAGCCACCACTGAAGCTGCTAAAAACAATTTTTTTTCTAATATTTGTGCCTCCTGTTTTCCTCATTTAACTCGTTGCTGTTTCTATACACATCTCTGAAAATAAAGGACTTAATATTTCTTAGTATTTAGTGTCTGTTTTGACAAAAACAATTTATTTTTATGTGTGTGTTGGGGGGGGGGACACAAATGAGACTGAGGTGAGACATTCTCATCGCAGGTTTTGATGGATGAAAAGAACAGTGAAATTTCAGGAATTTGCCAATCTTAAATCAGTATCGCTGTGATAATAAAAGGCACCAGTCAATGTCAGAAGATCAGTTTGACACAGAAAACAAGCAGTCGTTACGAGACACTCTGACCTGGGCTTCAGAACGTCCTAAAGACGCCTCATCAGATCTAATTAGACGTTGCGGTCGTGGTTTATCCATTCAAATCTGATCACTTGACTCACCTGTAGGATTTTCTGCAGCTGTTTGTGATTTTCCACCACAATGATGTTGGTTTCGGAGTTTTCTGCTACGTACTGGCACGCCTCAGGAGAGTTGGTGGTGTAGATGCCCACGGCGAACCCTCTGCAAGTTGCAAAGAGGAGTCGGACTTAGCAGACCTCATCACATCCAGTCGCAGCGATGAGCTTTAAAATGTATCTCAAAAAGCAGCAATAGTTCTGCAAATGCCTCAAACCTGCGTCTTCTGTGTAACAGAAGCATATCTTTTCTTAAAGATGATCTTTATATCTCTGCTGCAACTAGTTAAACAGGTTCACATTCCTTTCATGACTGAGTACACAATGTGAGAGTGTGCCTTTAGCTCAGACGGTACGTGAGCTTGAGTTTCAAGACGTTTTATCTTTGCGCACGTAGAAAAGTATAGAAAATCGTTCGGATTTTCCAAACAAACCGTTGAATCTTAGAAGAACAGCAGAGAAACGAAACTATCGTTGTAAACGCTGATTAAAAGTAGACGTGAATTGTTAAAATCTCCTCCTTGGATGATTTTAAGCTTGTTGAATAAAGGCTGCTACAACAACCACACATCATCTGAGCAGAACGTTTTACTCATGTAGAGTCCAACATTTCCCCATAGCACTTCTTGTCTGCTGCAATCAGTCAGTCATTAGCGATGAGTACGAGTTAAGCCACGTGAGGGTGTTTGTCCACATTCCTGCTTTAGAACTTAAGCGTGTGACTTTCAGGGATGATAAACATACAATGTCCAAAAGTCACCTTTGTTATGAGCAGGTGGAGTGTTTTTAATTGACCTTCCTGTATTTAAAAACACACTTACCCTGCCAAAATGGCTCCGATGTCAGCGATGAACCACTCAGCAGAGTTGAAACCAAGGATCCCGACGCCATGATATCTCTGCAAACCAAGCTGCGGAGCAACAAACAGATGTTTAATTTATAAATAAATAAATATAATCCCACTAATCTCAGGAATAGGGACGGGAGTCAGAACAGAACTTACTAATGACAGCTTTGACTAGTTTACGTAACACAATTTGTCCTATAATTTTCTTATAAAATGATAGTATGAAGGTGCACTAAAAACTAAAACATTAATTTGTTCCTAAAGCATTTGGAGAGAGTTTCAACCAGCAGCAGAAAACCTGATCTACACAAAGACTAGTGTTGTATTTCCACAGTAGTTGCATCATTTGTGCAGGAAGAACATAAAACAGTCAAATGTTGTCATAACCAAAGCAATACAAACTGATACCTAAATTTAAAACTGCAGTGTGTAATTTACAAGACTGAAAATGYCATACTGTTGGTTGTAATCTAATATGAAGCTCGGATGACTTATCTGAGACTGGAGAGTGATTAAGATAGTAAAAAATGTCATGTCAGTCAGATTAAATGTCCTGAAACAGGAATCTCAAGGTCTGTGACAACAGAATGAGATTATTTTGGACGTGTTTGCTCAGATAGAAATCTGTGAGCATATCTTTGTACAGCTTGTGTGTTGATGTGAAGTAGGAATACGTTTTTGTGCTGATAAATTGTTGAGTTTCACACAAACTGTCTCAGGAAGCTCACACTGCTGTTTGTCGGAAAGACGTTTAAAATGTAAACTTTAAAATTTGCCAAAACACATCTTTCCAGGTGTCATCTGAAGGGGCTGTATCTTTTAAACAAACTAAATCACCTCTGAGATCGTTAAGATCTAAAGAAAAATCTGCAAAATTCTACTTGACCTCAATATTGTGAATCTGTGTGTGGTTCGTTCTTTGGTTTTTCTGTTTCAAAAGAAAATCACAAAAAGAAAACCGTGGGTTTTTTTTTGTATCCTGTTTTTAAAACCTACATTAAAAAAGTATAATCAAACTTATTAAAAATAGAGAGTGTTTGATTTTTGTTTCAGCTTTCTAAATCTAAAATAAAATACATAGTTGTAACGATACCAGAAATGACGGAAGTTGCCAAAGATAAAAAGTTCATAGAGGCTTAAAAACTGCTTAAAAATCATTCCTAAAGATATATATTGGCATTAGCTGCAGTCAAACTCTATTCTGCATAACTTGTAATATTAAAGCAATTTTGTCCATGTTAGGATCATCAGCTCTCAATGAGACGCTCTCTAAATAAGTGAAAAAGTAATGCTCCAGGAGTTCAGACCATTTTTTCTGGTTCCGCCAGAAGGTCCCAATTAGTGCTGAAACAAAATATAAAGCTTGTCTTTATAATAAAAAATAAAAAAAACATAGCATTTTTTATTTTGCAATTGACATTTTTCTAATTTAGTCTTTAAAAAAACAATTATTTGCTTTTTCTAATTTTATTTTGAAACAAAAACCAAAGAACGAACCATAAGGATTATTGTGCTGCAAGACTGATCGTGCATTTGCACTTTTATAATCAGTTCTCTACAACTTCATGCCCTCGTCTCTTGCCCTGAAAGAATGAAAAGAAAATTGAAAATGATCTGCAACTCTTTGTGATGAGTAATCTCTGGATTTAGGTGTTTTATTTTGCCCAAATATTTAAAGATCAGAGAGGCTGAATACTGAAAAAGCATAGTGTTGTTGACAGTACATCAAAGAATGGAGTAATACTGGCTGAACGGGAAGATGTTTTATTTAGATTTAAAAGAAGGAGAGGAAGAAAGGAAATTACCTTTAGGAAGCTCTTGGCAGCGGTGCGGCAGGCCTGGTAGTATTCTTTGTAGCTGAGGGTTTTTAGCTGCTCGCCCTCTTTCCAACCCAAAGCTGTGTAGTCACCAAAAAGTTTCACGGCTCTGGTGAATGCCTGGTCCACGGTCATAGGGGTCTCGGCCGCCACGCCTGAGTCACCGATCCTGAGTTTCACCTCGCCGTCAAACTGTGTGGTCCACAGGCGGAGCTCTGCCGCTGAGGGCACCGACAGCGAGTCTGGGCGCTGAGCTTTCACTGGAAGACGTGAAGATACGAATCAGTGATGAGTCTCATCTTATTTCCAAGAAAATGTCTATGCTTAGAGCACATGAACCGAAAAGCACAAACACGACTCACTGCAGTCATTTGAAGTTTCACAACAATTGGGTAGAATCGGTGCTGTAGTTCTCAGAAGGCTCATCTTTATTGTATATTTCAGTTCTGATTGTTGCTTTTGCTTTCAAATCTTAGTTGCATCATCTTACTTGAGAGTGTCTTACTGTTTTTAGTCAGTTTTATACCATTCAGCAGGGAAAGCAAAATGAGTTTGAATAGCTACAATAAAAAAAGTCAGAACGGTTTAATGATTRATGAGGTTAACAAAGACAAATGGTTATTGACCTGACTACCAGCAGGATGTTTTGAATATTAGTGTTCCTCCGGATCCTTAAAAAGTCTTAAAAGGCATTGAATTCATCAATCCAAAAATAAGGCCTCAATTAGCCTTAAAATGTCTTAAATCAATCTTTCAGTAGTCTTAAAAATGCTAACACATTGTAAATAGGATGACTGTAATTCATCTCAAATATTAAAATAATTGGTAACATTTATTTTTTTAAATATCTACATGCAGACATTACCCTTTTACATCACTTCCTGTTATTTCACATGCAAATATCTCAACTGTCCATCTGAGCAACGTGAAATTTGTTTTGTAATATCTTAATAATGTTGTCTTTCCAAAAATGCATTCACATCTCTTACAAAAAATTAATAACACAGGCACTTTAAGGTTTCATCTACAGCGAAATGGGGTTAAGACTCCACTGTGGGTCCTAAAACTCCAAATTTTAGGTCATTTCCAGATTTTCAGAAATAAATTAAGTTTAAAACTGACTGCTAAGAATGTTTTTGCCATGTTTGATGAAAAAGCAGTGAGATATGAATAAGAACAAKTGGTCTTTTAGCAATATTTGAATACTTCAACCAAAAATACATTGATTCATGAGTTTCTGCCACAGTTTTTATTTATTTTTTTTGTCATTCGTGTTTATTGTGAAATTGGTCTTAAATTTTATTTCACTTGGCATTAAAAAGTCTTAAATTTAACTTGCCTTAAACTGTAGGAACCCTGTATWAAGGGATGTCACATGGTGGATTTGTGATAAAACTGATGACTCATCAGTATTATGGCAGGTGGCATGCTGAATCATTTTATCATGAGAAAAGTTTACAAAATGTTAGTGAGGACATGAACGTTGCATCAAATATATAACATTTCACTGAGATTTCCTTTGTGTTCAATATAAATAAAATAAATTGACTTATTTGAGAAGACATTTCCTAATCCCACAGATATGAATTAYGTCGAGTTTCCGTCAGTGACCATAACAGGAAAGAACGTCAGAGCTGAGTTCAGAGGAAGGAAAAGAGGAAGCAGAGTTTGTTCTTCCAAAGTGGAGCGAGCGCTTCCTCCGGAAAGATATTCAGCCACAAACGCTGACTTCAGCAGGAGAGAGCGTATTAACTACAAATAACATTCCTGAATCTGGACTAAACGTATGTTTGAGCATTAATTATTATGGTTTRAATCCAGCTGTGCCTCCCTCAGACAAACAAACACGTGGCGGCTTTTCTCCAGGACTCACCCTGTTGGGCGTTTGAGCTCTGCTCCACTGCTGGAGCCTCGGAGCTGCTGGCGTCTGCAACGCGAGCGGAGGTCTCTTCCTCTTTTTCTCCCGTGGACTCTTCCTCTGACGACTCACTAAAGGACAGGAAGGGGAAAACATGTTAATTTTTGAGTGGGTGGCTCACATTCAGAACTGGGGCCTTTTTGTGTTCACATGTTCTCAGGCACTACGTTCCCTCTAACAGACCAGAAACGAATGTTAGGCAAACAGGTAACTCTAAATTGTTCCTAGGTGTGCGTTAGTTAGGTTGGACACTACCTCTCGCACACTGATGGTAGAAAGACAACAGCTCCCAGTGATTGKGAAAGGAGAACCAAGTTATGAAAATAGATGAATAGATTTCCCTAATGAGCACTCCTAGTCAAATCCAAACAAAAACAACTGGTGCATGTTTGCAAACAACCCAACTTAGTTGTAACCAAACCAGTAATGATAAAATCTGATCACTGGGTTTGTTAAAGGGATCCACGATTAGTTGTAACATTAGACTTTATTTAATAAACGTACGTATATTTTAACTGTAAAATAAAGACTGTAAAAATACTGTAGGCTGCTTAGTTTTTATTATTTTTGAACTAAAATTTTAAAAATGTATTACACGGACAGGAACATTTTATTTATACACAAAGCATTCTGGGTAAATGATGAGGTAGATAGGTGCGAGGTTGCTAGCGAGCTATATCCACTCTGAAGGTTAATCTTTGACAATATCTGATGATCGGCTCTTTTAAATGAAACCAGAGAGCGTTGACAGAGAGGAGAAGGTAGAAATGACTCAGYCTGKAACTGAAAATATGGATGGAGGACAACAGAGCTGCTTCATGGAAGAACCCCAGCTTAGCCTGTTAGCTTTAGCATTAGCCCTGACGCTATCACCATATATATGTATTAGCTCAGTGCTACACATTCTCCTCTCATCACTGAGGTCCTCCATCCACATGACAGAGAGGGGAACACAAAACTGACTCAGTCTGCAACTGAAAATATGGATGGAGAACCTCAGTTTAGCTTGTTTGTCAGCGCTAGCGCAAAGGCTAACAGGCTAAGCTGGGGTTCTTCCATGAAGCAGCTCTGTTGTCCTCCATCTATATTTTCAGTTACAGACTGAGTCATTTCTACTTCTCCTCTCTGTCAACGCTCTCTGGTTTCATTTAAAAGAGACGATTGTCAGATATTGTCCAAGATTATCCTTCAGTGTGGATATAGCTCGCTCACACCGATGACCTGTCGATGTCATCATTTACCCAGAATGCTTTGCGTGTAAATAAAATGGCTCTGTCCGTGTTAAAATGTATTTTTAAAATTTTACAAAACTGAACAGTCTACAGTATTTTACAGTCTTTATTTTACAGTTAAAATAAATGTTTATCAAATAAAGTCTAATGTTACAACTAATTGTGAATCCCTTCAAAAACACCATAAATTAATTCACAAACATTCAACCACTGCTATATTTCTCCATCATCAGCCTGCAGAGAGAAAATCTTTCAAAAACTAAGTTTATGTTGACATACTTTGCTGTGTCCACGATGACGTCATCGAGAGAGGCGGCGCTGTCTCCTGCGCCGCAGGACTCCAGGAGGCCTCCTGCCTGAGGAGGCTCCATCACCACAGCCTCAGATGTGGTGGTGGGCTCGCAGGCGGTCACTGAAAAGAGGAGATTGGTCGATTAGTTTTAATTGGCAGAAACATCCGCAACGAAGAAAATAATTGCAAGCACTCAAGACACGAAGCAAAAAATAAATAAAAAAGACGCTTCCTAACCTCCAGAAAAGCAGAAACACGTTGGTGCAACAACAAGCGGTGTGTCGTAAAACTAACAACTATGTGTTGCTGGTGCAAGGTCACTTTTCATATAAGGGTCACACATTCGTCCTTGTTTTTCCAACTTTATCAGTCTTTCCAGAAATGTTATTAACTGGCCTAAAGTAGCGCTGATCATAGCATGATGCCTGATTTCAGCTGAAGAAAAAATAAGTTTCTGGAAAAGCACAGAAACACCTGGCAAAGGAAGTAGGCTAACTGTTAAATATCACCTGCCTTTTTTTTTTTTTTTTTTTTGGTTTGTTTGTTTGACTCGACCTACAAAGTGAGGAACATATGGAGCGTAGCTGATAAGATGGAAAGTTACCAGTAAAAATAGCTGTGTTTGCCTGAAAGTAACGGCCTACAACCGACTTCTGTTTGGTCAACAACACCTTTTGAAAACACAACTATAAAAAACGAAGCATAAAGAACAGGAAAACACCTCACGGGTTAAGAGAARGTGAACAAAGCGTTGGGTTTTACTCTCTGACCAGGTGTTAAAACTATGTTKAAGAAGCATTGCGGGGACGATCTTTTTGAGTTGCTGTTGCATCAACACAGAAACAATAAAACCATCGCAACTCAAACATGGTCACATCTGCCACGCCCGTGTCCCCTCATTTGAAACACGGCTGCAGCCCGGTCAGGACCCCCCTCTTTCTCTTATCAAGAGTATCAACTTGTTTATTTAAAGGGGGAGCTGACAACACGTATCAGCAGCTTTATGGGCTTGTTGTGGCAGGAGCCTATCATAGCTCACGTTGTCGGGAACAATTAGTCCCGGGTAAGTGGAGAGAAACGGGCTCCGCTGAGGCCGGAGAGCAGAAACAATAATATTTTTTCAGCACAAGTTCGAGGTTGRCACACGAACTGTACACCAAACCAAACTTACAGTGAGTAAAAACAAAAAGTAGGTGAAAGAAATGTTTTCGTGTGTGACAGACATTCTTGAAATTCATAACCCAGAGGTTAAAGTGCCACYGCCACTTAGCAAAAAGTAGTAAATGCAAGTGTTCTTTAAGTATACTAATTTCAAACTAAAAACAAAAAAAGAGTATACTTCCAGTTTACTTTTTATGTACAGTACTTACTGTATCTGAGATATAACCAAGTTTATCGTACACTATACTTGACTTGTACTAAAAGTATACTAAAAGTTTAAGCATACTTAATCTATACTAATGTTTCAACTTTTGGCTAAGATAAACTTTAGTAGTACACTGAAAGTACATTTTCACAAACCCTGGTTTATTTGTAGTGGATTTCAAGATTTAACTAAAARTATACTTAGAAGATTATTTTCAGTGTACTGAGTATACTTTCATAAACTTATTGTGTGCCGATTCATTAGTTCTAGAAGTATACTTGTTAGTAAACTGCTAGTGTACTTATATCAGTGTACATCAGGAGTGTCCAAACATTTAATTAAACAAATAAAGTAGTCAGATTTATTGTTGGAAATAGATGTGTAAATTAATCTAGGTCCAGGAGTTTAAAAGTGTTTTGCAGGTTTCCCTTGTTGAAAGAARATTTGCAATGGGACGATCTTTCCTCTGACTTGAGCCKTGATGGGTGGAACTGACCCCGGTCAAGGTAATGGCTGACCGTTACTGAATGTACCTSAGGTTTGACTGAATTTGTTGAGAGGCGTCTGCCCTTTCTGGTTAAAATCCACATTCTTTAATGGTTAAAGTTAAAACTAACTAATCCTCTTGTAAATGTGAATCTAATCCTCCTCCTTCCTTTCCTCTTAAACCTGACCTGCCAAAACTTAAGAAAAAGTGCCACAAACAAATGGTTTATTAACACCTAAAAGTTTGTTGTTTAAACTATTTATAAATCARTTAACCTCACAAGAAGCTGTACATTAATGATTTGTTTGATTCTCAATTGGGGAATAAAGAACCCAATTTAGTCAATTCTAATCAATAAAATCAGGATTTCTTTCRTTGAGAATGCTTGCTGTATTCAGATAAATTWAATAAATCAATTAAAAGCGAATTGGAGGGCAGCAAAATCAGCTTTTGAGTAGACGTCACTAGATAGATGTGGAAAAAGCTAAGACAAACAATTGGATTTTATTTTGTCTGATAATTTTGCCCTAATTAAAAATAGAAAGTCTTCATCTACACCTGTGCYGGGGGGACAAATTTGTAAACAAAAGAGTAAAATTATTCAGGGGCCACACTTTGGACACCCCTGGTGTACATGGTAAATAAAAGTACACTTATATATTTTAGTATACTTAATGACATGTACTTAAAATATACTTCTTTTTGGTAAGTTTATAAACTTTAAAAGACATTATAATAGTATACTTTTTCCATCCATCCATCCATCCATTTTCTTCCGCCTATCCGGGGTCGGGTCGCGGGGGCAGCAGCTTCAGAAGGGAGGCCCAGATCTCCCTTTCCCCAGCCACTTCTTCCAGCTCCTCCGGGGGAACTCCAAGGCGTTCCCAGGCCAGCCGAGAGACATAGTCCCTCCAGCGTGTCCTGGGTCTTCCTCGGGGCCTCCTCCCGGTGGGACGTGCCCGGAATACCTCACCAGGGAGGCGTCCAGGAGGCATCCTTACCAGATGCCCRAGCCACCTCAACTGGCTCCTCTCGACGTGGAGGAGCAGCGGCTCTACTCTGAGTCCCTCCCGGATGACCGAGCTTCTCACCCTATCTCTAAGGGAGAGCCCAGCCACCCTGCGGAGGAAACCCACTTCGGCCGCTTGTATCCGGGACCTCGTTCTTTCGGTCATGACCCAAAGCTCATGACCATAGATGAGGGTAGGAACGTAGATCGACCGGTAAATCGAGAGCTTCGCTTTCTGACTCAGCTCTCTCTTCACCACGACGGACCGGTACAGCGCCCGCTTTACAGCAGACGCTGCGCCAATCCGCCTGTCGATCTCCCGCTCCGTTCTTCCCCCATTCGTGAACAAGATCCCCAGATACTTAAACTCCTCCACTTGAGACAGGGCGACCCCCCTGACCCGGAGAAGGCACTCTGCCCTAGTATACTTTTTATAAACTAAAAAAAAGTCCAAATTTAGTTCAAACAAGTATAAAATCATTATAATTTCTAGTACATTACAAGTACACGTGCCTGGTATACTTGATATACTTAAACCTATACTCAAGTACACTTATCAAAATGAACTTCAAGTATACGTGGAGTTCACTCCAGAGAGGCTCTAGTTTTAAGACTTTTAACGAGGTTTGGGACGTCCACTCCTTTATGAAACCAGAGATTCTGTTGGGACGTAGCTGTGGGTGGAGGCCAGCATGTTGGGGGGGATGAGATAAACCTAAAGACCTCCTGTTATTTCTTTAGTCTCTGTCTTTGTTATGGTCTCGGGATGAAGGGAGGCAGCAGGGCGTGATGGACATCCCAAGAAAAGATTTACTCACACGTAAACCAGATCTGTTAAACAAAATGTTTAGAATGGATATAGCTTTGAAAACAATTCCCAAATTCAGTTTGCACGTATCCTCTTTTATATTTCTGGATTGGAAACTCTGCATCTATTTTGGATTTATGCAAAATGTCACACAGAAAAAGTTAGCTTGAAGTAACCCCCGTTCTTGTTGGCATCCATTGCTGATTCGAGACCGTTGCTGTGAGACATATTTTTCAACCACAATTTGCCTAAGTGATAAAATCCCCTGCACACGACACAAAACTTTTGCTTTTAGTTTTGAACCATCCATTTAGTCTTTTTTTAATGAATCTTCCAAACAAGCTAAACCAAATTTTTAATTTTAGAAAAGGATGAACTTTTTAGCTTTAGGGTTTCCACAGATCCTTAAAAAGAATTGAATTTATCCAATAAAAAAAGTCTTAATTAGCCTTAAAAGGTCTTAAATCAGTCTTTCAGAGGTCTTAAAAATGTCAACACAATGTAAGTAAGATGCCTCTGGCAGCTTGTTGTTTTATGTTAAAATARCATTTGGGTATAACTGTAGCTGTTAAATTTAATTTCAAGTGGCGTTAAAGTCTTAAAAGTCTTAGATTTAACTTGCCTTAAGCTGTAGGAGCCCTKAGCCTATTGATAGATTAAAGATTTGTTTCATTGCACAATATCTGACTTAATCATCTGATTTCTTATTTTAGATTTATTTTTAAAGTCTGATWCCGTTGCTCAGAAAAGCCAAGGCGAATCATCTCATGGTGTTTGCAACCCTGCAGATCATTTTGGTGTTACTGCAGTCATACAGTCAGGAGGGGATTATGACGATGGATGATAGGTGARCTTAGCAACAGCTGGTCCATTCAGAAAGAGAAACGCAGCAACGGTTGAGGGTAAAACACTTAAAACTCTTATGCTTCACTGGTTATCAGAAAGGGTGATAATGTAAAACCATCAACATCTCCATCATCAAAGACAAAAACTGAACATCGTGATGAACCAAAAAGAACTTCCCCCTCATCTGTCATACCAAACTTCAGCTAAKCCCTGTCGAAACAGCCCAGAAACCCCCCACGCCTCACAGCAGTGTTGTCTTCTCTCTCATGCTGTCTCTGTTTGTCAAAAAGGAGCCATCTCGAGTGAGACATCCAGAATWTATAAAAGCTCCACGACGTGATCTGAATCCTCGCAGGCTGCCGTCGCCTCGGTTTGCAGCAGCCGCTGGGCGTAAATCCTCTGCATTGTACATTTTACCTTTTCTCTTCATCAGTTAACATTTATAAACCTGGTATATCAATTAAAAACAAAGAGCTGCTGCTTTTTAAGGACATTAGTAAAATTACAGTGAGATTTAAAGAGATCTACAAGTTGGGTTACACCCATCTGCCAAAGGATGAGCTATTCTTTCTGGTAACCAATCACAGTTTATCATATACACATTACATTTAAAGCTGAAGACAAATACATGAAGAGAAATCAAGATCCACAAAATTAAATAAATGCAATATAAAYGAGTATTGTATAAAACTTTCATTACTCATTTTATGCCAAATAAAATCTAATGATACTAAAAAATAAGCAACCTAATGGTTTTCCTGTAGAACAAAACCAGTTTTTCCAAACCTGATGATACAATGAAAGCTGATAAACAAGATTAAAGCACTTCCTTCTTTTTTTTACACATATTTAAAATAAATAAATTCATGATACTCACATTGCATTGTTGAAAAATTCTTAGTTTCTCAAGCTGACTTTCACTCAATTTATCCACCTTTTGAGATCTTCTCCCTTTCTTTAAAAAAACAGCTTTTGTTTTTGTTTTTTTCCGAGATCCTCCAGTCGTGTCTACAGCACGAGCAGCATATCATTCATTCTCAAACAGCACTAGTAGCCGGCTCTGTTGGTTCCCTCCCCTCCCGTAGACCCCACCCAGATGGGCCTGCTGGCTCCTTCGGTCGCCCCCACCTCCCCGCGCATCCTGAAGCCCTCTGATTGGCTGAAACGTCTCACACCACAAGACTCATTTCCCTCATAAGGGCATGCAGACCAAAAAAGAAGGAGGCGGGTGGGGGAAGCTGCTGTGAGGAAACGCATACACATACTCCTTTGACAGATGATGCTACGAAACTCAGGCCCATCCCCCCTGCGAGGGAAACCCCGCCCAAATACACACCAGCACACGGTGGCGAGGTTACTATCGGGCGCGAAGGGCTAGGCTCTGCAGAGACCCACATACTGCGACCTACATTAGTCAAACTGATGCTGATCTTTCTGTCCACATAATTAAACGGACATTCAACGTGCATTCATGGCGGCACGGTGAGGCAGTGGTTGGAGCTGTCGCCTCACAGCAAGATGGCCACAGGTTCAACTCCCAGCTGCAAAACTGCAAACTTATCAGGTCAAGAAGACGTTCCGCACGAAGACGAGTTCTGTCTTTACGATCTGCTCGATCCCCTTGAATGACGCTTCCGGGTTTTAAGTCCTGCCTCAACAACAAAACAAAAGTAGTCTTGTTAAAAAGGGAACAAATGAATTGCCGTTCACGGAACGAATACCTGCTACACGAAATGCATCATAGTATAACAAGTTGTGCAAGTTTTAAAGCAGGATTAAATGACTGTAAAAGCAAGTAAAGATCTCTTTAAAGTTGTTCAATTAGTTCATCATTTCCTGCAGACACTTGATGTCATGCCAGAATTTGCACTTGCATAATACTCAAGCAACACATATAATAAACAATACAGGGATGCACCAAAAAATCGCTTTACATCGGAATCGTGATTCTCATTTACAAAGATTCAGAATCAATATAAAATGTCCCAAAATCGATTTTTATAAATAAATAAATAAAAATAAATAAATAAAGCAAATCCAATGGCCATCAGCCTCCATTTTGTAACTACATCCTGACGTCATCACGCAGCTGCTTCTGGAACATGAACGTGCAGAAAGCACCAAAACAAAGAGGAAACTACAGAACTGGAGGAAAGAGAGCTTCAACTGACCCCTGTCTTCACTGAATGCAAAGATTTGGCCTCATTTTGGTTTTTACTGAATGAGTCCGAGTTTGACACGAGCTTCACTTTGTGCGAGGTTTGCAAAATGAAGATGAAGCACTTTGGGAACACGACAAATGGGCTCACATTATCAGTTTTGAATGAAAAATCGATTTTGAATCAAATCGTGGCCCCAAAAATCAGAATCGAATCGTGAGAGAGTAAAAGATTCCCACCCCTAATATATATGTCATTGTCACAGATGTAATGAGAAAAAAAGAAAACGTGATTTCCCCCAAACCTCTGTCTGCACAGTTCAACAGTTCAAATATTTCAAGTAAAGGAAGTGGAAAGAAATTGAATTTCCTCCTTGAACTCATAAAAATATTAACACCCCACCCCCATATTCTCACTATTTAGATGCCGTGCAAAAGCTGAATTTAACCATTTAAACTCATAAATTATGTCGTGTCTGCACCAGTCTTTTTTTAACAGATGCTTACTTACGCAGCTGTGTTTTATTATCGTATATTACTTTTTAAGCTCAGCCTCTAAATAACTCATGTGCAGATGCTCACATGACCGCACAAACGTGTCATTGGTCTCTGTAGAAAGACAAGTCCCAGCCAATCACCGGATGAGACGAAAAGGCTGAAGCACCACACCACAGCGTCACATGACATCCTGAAGCTGGCTCACTCAGAGCTCTAGACCACGGGCCGGCTGCAGGCTGGGTTTTAATGCTGATGCACCTTAAACTTTGGTTGCTAGTCACTGACATCCTCCTTGTCCTTTCATGCTCTGCAAGCTTGTACATCTAACAACTGTCAGGATAAAGAAGTACATAGTTTTAGCTGACGGTTGTTTCTGCAAGTTTTATGTATGTGTTTTTGCAGAACCAATGGGACAACAAATGTAAAAAGTCATGTAATGACTTATCAATTTACACAGTTCTTCAGCCAGCAGGTTACTCTTTTTAAAGGACTTAAAGTGCCTGTGACGTCAAATTTTTGTAATACATGTGAATGCATTTTTAGAAAGAGGACATTGATAAAATACTGCAAAAGAAATTTCTTGTCACTGAGATGAACAATTGTTGAGATATTTGCCTGTGAAGYAACAGGAAGTGATGTCAAAGGGGAACATCTGCATGTGAACAGAGCATTGTTACAACAGCCAACAACCCAGACTGTTGAGAAGAATTTGATGTTTCTTAAGATTATTTTCAGTCACTATCAGAGAGATGAAGAAGAGTCAGAGTTCAAGTAGTATTGTTCCCATAAACAAAGACCAGAGTTTTCTTTGTTAAAGCGTTCCCCTGTGATGTCACTTCCTGTTTCACTTTGGCTGAGCCAGGTTCAAAAGAAAATATGWGATTTATGTGACAAAATGGGTTAAATCGTGTGTCACATAAATCAAAWATTTTCTTTTGAACTTGGCTCAGCTAATGTGAAACAGGAAGTGACATCAAAGGGGAACTCTTTAAGAAAGAAAACTCTGGTCTTTATTGAAACAATATTTAAACTTTAACTGTTCTTCATCTCTCTGATGGTGACTCAGTATAGTCTAAAGAAACAGCAGATTCTTCTCCACAGTCTGTCTTAACTATTGTAGCAACGCTCTGTTTTACATGCAGACATTCCCCTTTGACATCACTTCCTGTTGTCTTCACATGCAAATGTTTCAACAATTGTWCATCTCAGCAATGTGAAATTAGTTTTGCAGTATGTTATTAATGTTATCTTTCCAAAAACGTGTTCACATTTATTACAAAAAATTGATGTCACGGGCACTTCAAAGCAGCTTCTGGGTGCAGGTCATTTTTCATTCAAACTAAATTAAGACAAAAAGATTGAATGTTATGCAGCAATAAAAGCCCCACCTGCTCAGACGTTTTGTGACAGTTCAGTCAGACGAATGTTCTTAATCTTGGACAAAACACTGAGAAATGTACCAAGAGTAAAGCTTTAAGCATCCATTTTTCTTTTTTGGACATCTGCAGAAAACATGCAATCTGACAAAAAGAGAAAAAAAAATTCAAACMGTTTTTAATGAATATGCCTAAAATGCATCAAATTTTCCCAGGAAGTACTAAAGCAAACCATATTTTTTAAGTCATTGGTTAAATTTAGTGTTAATGATAGGTGCTTTGGAATTCACTTGTTTCTGCTGAAATGTCTTATTCTGCTCTAGTATCCATCGGTGGACAAACATCACAGCAGCTGAACGTCCACATGAAAGATTGAAAACAACAGTTCAAAAACAAGCGGGCGTCACCTGTGAGGTTACATTCTTCTCTTTAAAAAMTAAAGGATTGCTGCACTTTCTCTGCAGAGAGCAGCGTATATKACCACTGTAAATTTATAGCTGCATTATAAAACAAGTTTACTGATGCATAATCCTGTCAAAAAGTCATTCACTTAGTCTTTTATACTTGAGAACTTCTAAACAGAGTTTAAAGTTAGAAATAGACYTATCTTGATTTATAATTAAATGTATGTCCAGAGAGCTGAACTCAAATGTATTATGTACACTAAAATTTGAATGCAGCCCTTAATCCCTTAATAATAATTTTAGGTTTTTGTGTGCACAAATCGTTATGAACAATATAGGTTAGATGCAGAGCCTCATTAATGGAATGGATTTCATCTGTGAGCTGTTCTTAGTCAAAGACAAATGTAAGTAAATTAAAAATGAACTGAAACTGTCTTGTGAAATCCATCAAAATGAACCCATAGCCAACATAAAAGTCTTAAAAATCAACAGCTGCTAATGTTAACAGTTTAGTTTCAGGTAAACACTTTAAAATGTGAACCATGGAGTCAAGATGGGAGATAAATGGTGAGAATTAACTCACTTACCTGCGGAACAAGCTCCTTAAAAGCGTTTGCTTTTGTCGGTTACTGAAAATGAAAGAGGAGCGGCTCCCTGCTGGATCCCGTTGTCACTTTCACATCCATAAAAGACTTTGCTATGCTCGACAATAACCAATCTGACCAATAAAAATTACTTTTTCATTGTGTAATCATGTCAAAACAAACATAATTTTCTTTGAGTTAAGACAAAGGCAACTTACATTTGAGAAATTTGGGACATTTTATTGTTTTATTCTTCTTTCCCCTATTTATATGTTTCCTTACATTACAGTTTTATTAAAAAGAAACAAACGGATGCAATTGGAATATATATATCTGCAATGCCAAAGCAGTCAAAAATAACAAAATCTTACACACAATTGAGCAATTGTTCCAGATCATGATAAGCTGTTAAAATATTTTCATGATAAACTAATAGAAAAATCTTTGTCAGCTAAAGTGGTGTCAAAACATAAGGTTCTGCTGCCCTCGTGTGGTGTAAATTATTAACTGCACCAGAACATCATTAAAATTTTACAAGAAAAAAAAAGTTTTTAACTTAATATTCAGATGTTTGTAGTTCAGATCCACAAAAATACCACAAATAAAGAGTAAGAGATGTGTATTCATAACAAAAGTTATGCCAAAATGTATAGTATATTATTATTGTTTTGGAAATGATGTTAGAAATACACATTTAGGTGTTAATTTCTTTATCTCATTTAGGTGTTTATTTCTTTATGTCAGTGAAGCATTTCAGTTAGTTCTAACATATTTTACTTTAATTTAATTTAGTGTTTATTTACATAGGGACAAGTTTTTAGCACTTAACAAATATCTTAGATTATAACATTAAGAACCTACGACGGAGTATTAGGGCCACACGAGATTTATTTTTTTATTATTATGAGACTAAAGTCGTAATTTTATTAGAATAAAGTCATAATATTACAAGATTAAAGTCATAATTTTATCAGAAAAAAGTCATAATCTTACAAGAGGTGTCCATTTTCCATTCCTCATTTCCTCCTTATTTTCCCCACACTTTCTGTGGACAGCCACACGTCTCTGTGTTCATAAAGTAGTCTGTGATGACTTGGCTCACTGTTAGTGTAATATGCTTTCATTCAAATTAACTACGTGAGGACTAAATCTGTCAATGCATCCATTAATTACAATACGGCTTCAGTTTATAGTCGTTTGCACAATTTCCAAGTCCTGAAGTACTCATAATTTGATGTTAATGTGCTAAAAGATTAACTATTTTAAGCAATACTAAAGAACAACTTGACAAGTTGCTCAACATTCCTCATTTTATTGCAATGGTAAGTGCACACTATTTTTGTGTAAAGGCTAGAATATTGTGACTTTTTCTCTGTGACTTTTTTATATTTTGACTTTAATCTCATAATATTACAACTTTATACTCATAATATTATGACTTTGTTTTTATACAACTTTAATGTCGTAATATTATGACTTTATTCTTGTAATATTACAACTTTTTTGTCATAATATTGACTTTATTTTTATATGACTTTAATGTCGTAATATTATGACTTTATTCTCATAATATTATGACTTTATTTTTATACGACTTTAATGTCGTAATATTATGACTTTATTCTCATAATATTATGACTTTATTTTTATACGACTTTAATGTCGTAATATCATGACTTTATACTCATAATATTATGACTTTATTCTCGTAATATTATGACTTTATTCTCGTAATATTATGACTTTATTTTTAAACGACTTTGATGTCGTATATAACTTTAGTTTCGTAACATTACAACTTTATTCTCATAATATTATGACTTTATTTTTATACGACTTTAATGTCGTAATATAAATTTAGTCTCGTAACATTACAACTTTATTCTCATAATATTATGACTTTGTTTTATACGACTTTAAAGTCGTAATATTGTGACTTTAATCTCGTAATTTAAAAAGAACCAAGGCTAACTTGCGATTCAATGTGAATTTATGAATGGATTTTCAGCCTCATAACATTTCCTGAATAAACAGCACCAGCTAGTGGCTGAGCTTAAAAATAGCACATTTCGCTGGGCGGAACCATAGTGCGCGCGGTCCGTGGGCGGAACGCTTTTCGGTGTGGACCCTCCCTCGCKGCAGTGAGGCCCGTGACGTAGGCGTCCAAGGGTAGCAACAGTTGCCTCGAGACCCCGTGGCGCTATAGTGATTGTAGCCGTGGAGACAGTTACTTACCAACGGGCGCAACACTCAGCAACAGCAGCAGCATCTGGAAGTCACCGAGCGAGTGGGAGAGAGGGCTGAACTTTTGGTGAAAACAAAGGTGAATATGAATATTTTCACACAGAATTCAGAAACTGATTTCATCTTGGTTTTAGAGGGGTTCAAACGCAAGAAACTTTAGTCTCTTCCTTTAACCGGCGGCAGTGAGTCTCCTCTCTCCAGCGTCTCTGCCTCTGCCTCTGTTTGCGCTCCGAAAAGCGTTTCGTTACTACAGCAGCTCCGGAGCATCACTTTACACTTGTTGCTGGCGCTGTTTTAGCGGGTGTCGAGACGTGAACGCACTCTTCCAGCTCCTCCGACACACACAAACACACACTCTCACGAGCTGACCAGTCGAGGACAAGCTAATGCTAATTTGGCAGCAGCCACGAGTGGAAGTTCGCTTCTGAGTTTTGTGTCGCGTTGTCAGCCGCAGCCCAGAGTCTCGATGGGGGTCACAACAACCAGGGTAAACCCAGTCTTTTTCACTCTTTTTTTATTTTAACTAAATTAAATTAAATTTTCTTGTCAAACAATTGTGTAATTAGCACCGTTGGTTCTGTTACCAACGTCCGCCGCGTGCAACGTAATCATATTAAGACAACTTTCATTGCTTGTTAAATTTTATTTACGAGAAAAGTGCACGCTAAAACGGTGGGTGGTTCTCTCAGTAACAAGTCAGTCCACATGAAGTAATCTCTCTTTATCTGATTGTGAAACCTCAAAATATCAGGAACAAGCTTTACAAAAGTTAAATTGTAGGAACTATTTTTCAATAACTTCAATAACAAAATGTGTTGCAGCTAGGTGGTGCTACTGGATGATGTTTTTTTTTTTTATCATGTTTCACTGTCTTGTTTTTACAAATCAAACTGCTGCTTTCTGTAATCTTAGAACTTTAGCTGCTGTTTCCTGTGGTGTGTTTTTGTATTGGGCAGAAAAAAAATACTGATGGCTTCTCTGACTTCTGATTTCCCTACAAATTGTTAATTTTATTTCTCCTGATCTAGCCAGTTTTCATAATGAAGTAGACCTAAAAGAAAACTGTCAGCAGGTAGGTGGTTCCACTGCTTCATTGTGAAATTGTTAAAGGGGCTACATCATGTAAAAATCAACTTTTTTTTTTAGTTTTATATCATGTTTTAATGTTATCCTCTCATCAGAAACATGCCCAGAGTCTTGCTTTGACTCATTTATGCATGTTGGAGAAATCATGTAGTGTCCTGAGGCAGTCAGGCAGGGGAGCAAAAATGACCGGTTGGGACTAGAACCGCCTTTTGGGACTAGAACCGCCTTTTGGGACTAGAAACGCCTTTTGAGACTAGAAACGCCTTTTGGACTGTGTCTCCGAACCGAGCTTCCTCAACACAGAACACACCTCCCCGAATCCTTCAGGCTATCGGCAGTAAAAACTAGCAAACATCCGGTGAAAACCATGTTTGTTCACATCTTGTGTTTTAAGATTTGTAACTTAGTACGATCTGTATATGTGTGTGTGTGTGTGGATGATCTTACAAGCTGAAGAGTCCTCTCCGTAATCGCTCCAGTTCTTCAGAAAACATACTTTCCGGTCCGACAGTAAGGTTCGTATGTATCCAGAGATGCAATATCCCAAAACCGATCTTGTAAAATGTTGCTGCTTTTTAAAATTATCATTACAACAAATCATGCTACGAYGCTCCAGGTTGTAAACAGCAGAGGAGCGGCTGTGATGACCTGCTGAAATGGGTGTGRYGGGATCAGAAGGAGGTTCTTAAAGAGAAAGAGGCCAATTTCAAGGCGTTTAGAAACAGAAATGAATGAGAAGTCAAGTTTATTTTTGATTTAAACATAAAAACAGCATTTTAATAACAACTGAAGGTGACATTGTTACTTTATTATGGTGTAGAATTTAAATATATGCCTGAGAAACACATAATATTGCCCCTTGAAGTTTCTTAGAGGTTGCAGTTTGATCCCTTTGCTGAGCTGAAGATTAATTTCAATCTCTTCCATGACTCTTTAARTGAAACATTCTGATTTAAGTGAACATTTCAGAGTGAGCCTAATGAGCCTTTGGTTAGTGTTAATAACACATGCATACCTCTTTTTGTCCCAGGAGATGCATTAATTCTAGCAAAGCCTTCTCTCGCAGACATTTGTCAGGTGCTTGGCCATTTGTGTTGTTTGCTATTGAAGCAAAAAGGAGATCATTTGCATCATGAATGTCCTATCAGTGAATAACGTCTTTAACTTTTATGTTAGCGTCTTATACAGATGAGAGAGGCAGTTAAAGAGCTCCAGTATCTGTGTCTCTATAGGTAATGATAGGAGGTCAAAAAAACAAGTCATAATGATAATCTAGACCTAAATACATAATGAAAAGCCCATTTTAGTGCAGTGCTTTCCAAAGTAGGGTTCATGAAACACCATGAGGGGTGTAACAATACATCGATCTATATCGATATATCGATTTGAATGGTTCACGATTCAGTTATATCGAGGCAAAATGTAAATATCAATCTATATCGTCATCATATTCTCGATGTGAATTAATATCATATGCCAATCTAACACAGTCATTGTGTTAGATGGGCATATGATATCGCATTATATCGATCGCAGACATGTGAATTGAATTGAAATCATATCGTGACAGACTTTGTGATATAGAGAAATATCAAATCGTCATCCAAACATATTGATGTAATATCGTATCGTGATAAAGTTGGCGATTTACACCCCTACTGAGAAGCTAAATAGAAATCAAATTGCCTTTAAAAATGACTGGTGATAGCATTTTAAGACTTAAATCTTACAAAAAAGTAAAACATAATGGTCATAAATGCATAAAAATGTATAATGTTTGTACACTTCAATATATTTAGGGTCACAAGCTTATGTGATTTTTTTTTTGTTGTTGGTCAAAAGCAGAAGTTTGGAGGGGGAAAAGTTTTTACCAGTGAGGAATTTTTAAACAACAAATGATAACAAAGAGGTGATTCTGTTGAAACTTTCACCAGTTTCTGCTTGCWTGTAGTCTAACRGTGTCATGTTTACATGGCAACTTGTTATACAAATACATAAMAGGAAAGGGGGTTMGGTTAGAAAGGTCCAGAGAGCAAACCACTATTCTTTTTAAAAGTCTGTTTTTTTAAATGGTTATTATCTACCTCTTTGTGGCTGGAGTGCATATCTCTAATTCATATCGGCATGGCTGAAAGGACAAATGTGTTGAAATGGAACAGAACAAAACTGAGCAAGAATGATGGTCTGAAAGGGGAGATGAATGTATTTTAATGTTATTTTTATTTTCTGTTGTTGACAGCTTTCTTTTGTCAGTTTCTAGAATCATAGTGATATTTATTAGCACTATTWGCCCAGAAAACTTTACTTCTWTTGACCTATTTTTCTTTTCTCCAATCCTCCACAATGCAGTTTCTAAAAAAARGCTTGTGATTTTAAATTTCATTGTCACCTGTTGAGTGTTTAATGGACCCAGGAGTTGAACTATCAATTGGACAACTGCAGTGGTCTCTGGGGCAGCAGGGGACCTGATACAGCCTTTGATCAWGTGTCTGTGTGTGTATGTGTTAGTTGTGTTACGTTAGTGTTGGTGTGTTTTGCTCAAGCTCAATTTAGCTGTCTTGATGAGGCCCACTGTTGGCCCGAGAGGAGGTCCATCTATCCAGCAGCCCAATATAGACACAAGCCTGATGGTTGTCATCGGTTTTGCTCTTACAGTTTATAGGCGACCACATGCATCTGATAAGGTAGTTTTACGGTTTAATATCAGGAAATCACAACAAAAAACAGATCAAAAACTCCTTCTGGGACTTGTTTGTGGAAACGAGTAGTGTCGTTTGTTACTGTTTCAACGTCTTTTTCAACACTGAGCTGCTATCTTTCCAAACTAAAACTTTTGCAACAAGTTGTTTACCTTCAGAGACTTTTGAAAATCATTGTAGGCCTCCGCTGCCAGGATACAAAGAAACAACTCTCCCCATATGAAGACGCAGCCACTGATTTGACTTCGTGTGGTTGCAACAAGCTGAAACTTGTGAAATGAAATGCTTTTTGGTCTGTTGCCTCCGTCTGAGCGTATGTGTCATCAGCAGCATTCCTTGCATTACACCTGTTTGTATCGTAGCGACACAACTGGTAATTAAATTTCCTGCCACAAACAGAGGACATTAGCATTACAATGACACCCCCCTCCCTCCTATTCAGGCAGGGGTTGGAGCAGACCCCCGTTTGCTCGGCACTTTTCTTTTCTTTTGTAGAGTTTTAAGCTGGAAAAGAGATAGTTATCTAGCAACAGAAAGGAGCTCTGTTAGTGTAAAGTAATAACCACATCCAAGAATGATCCTTTAGGTACAGATACCTTTAGGTAAAGATACAGAGACAATCGGTTTAGGCTAACGCTGTGTGTTGGATCTTAATCAACACCCTTCATAAAACCATAAAGGATCAGTTACACGTGAAGTAAGTTACAGAAAGTAAACAGCTCTAGCTTAAGGGTGAATATCCTAACACCGCCTTAGATTCAAGTGTTTGAAAACTCAAGCTTTAGATTTGATGAACATAGCCATAAGAACTGTTTCTGTAACACTGAATCTGACCTGGATTGTTGTTTTTTTTTTTTTTTTGCTTTTTTGAATCACTGTTTGTTTAAGATTGCAGTTTTGCTTCCATGAAAGAAATACACAGTTTTAAATGTGTTTAATATTCATCCAACACCCTCTTTGTTTTTTAGCTTGTATTAATAATCCGGACTAAAATATCAAGCCTTACCTTTTTGATAGACAGTGTTTGTGATGCCGCTTTATGCCTGACTTAGTTTTCTGCACAGTCAGCAAGTTTAAAATCATGTATCTGGAATTTAGCTGCAACTTGAGCACAATTACAGTTTATTGGAAACAAGTTATTAGTTTAGGCCACTACATTGTGGTCAATATAGATGCTGGTCATTTCATTGCATTGCTATGAAATGTATGGCAGCTATGTTGGCAGTGATGGTGTAAATTAAAAGTTCCTCCTTAAATCWGGGTTTAAAGGCAGGTTGTCAGCCTGGTGCAATATACAACTATGAACAACAAACCTCTCAGATTTAGAGCACAGATGAGTAGGGCTGCCACGATTAATCGATTAAACGACGACTAATCGATTATTAAAATAATCGATGACTAATTTATTAATCGATTAATCGTTTTCTTTTTTTTTGTTCTTTACTTTGTTTTTCTCTCCAAACTGCTTTGACACCTTCCACTGCCACATCTGCCTTTCTGTCCTTGACACACATGCACAGTAGTGGTAACTGGGGTACCTGTACAATATCTGCAGAGCAGAACTTGTCTTCCACAGCATTATTTTTAGTTAGCATATAGCTAAAATCTAACCA